GACATGTTCGGTTTTTAATTCCAATCATTGTTACGTTGAATTTCTATGGTCGAATTTACCAAAATATCCTCCTTTTTAATCATTTTTAGTCAGATTTTTATTTTCTAGCAATTAAACAAACATCTTTTTTTTTTTTAAATACTTACCATTAGAAGAAGTCAAATCTTTGAATTACTAAAATAATTTCAATTTCATCCCAAAGTAAACAAAATTTTTCAGAGGTTTACTTGCCTTAATTAACAATTATTCTCTTTTTTTCTTCTTTTGGATCTAATTTTTCATATAAAAAATATTGAATTTCTATACATAGTTAATTTTTAAAAAAAATTAATATATTAATTTTTGTAAAAATCGAAAAGTGACAAATATTTAGGAATGGGTTGAGGTATTAATGACTCATTAGGTTGTTAATTATACATTATGTTTTTCTAACGAAATTATTTCATTTGCCTAACAATAGAAATTTCAAATTTTTTTTCCTTTGCAATAGATATATTTTGTCAATATTTTAATCCTCAAGTAAATAGAAAGTGCAAGAAAAAATAATTGATGAAATTAATGGCAGAAATTAAATAAACCCAAAAAAAAATGATGAAACACTTTTAAGCCAAGCTATTCCCCAAAAAAAGAACATGCATAAAAGGAAAAGATACTGAAAATAATATTTTGCTTTGACAACAAATTTAGCATCACTTTGTAAAGGTAGAGTGACCTTTACTAAAGTCTGTCAAGGAAAACAGAGCATGTACTTCACTTAAAATGTTTGCATATTCTTCTATCTTTAAATATTTTATTATTATTTTCATAAAAATAAGATAAAAAACTTTACTTAAATATGTTTTATATTAAAATTTAATTTTTTATAATATAAATATTCAATTCTTCTAATATAAAAAATAAGAATATTAAATATTTTAAAAAATTTATTTTGACATGTCTCAAAATATATTTATATAAACAAAGAAAAAGGGTTGGAAAAATGTACATTATCGCGTAACTTTTTTTTTTTTTTTGTCACATGGAACGTAATTTTTTTTTTATTATCTCATTCCTTTTAATCAAACATATATCAAGTAAACATTTTGAAATATCTTTCTCAAATATACATATAATTACAAAAAGAAAGAGAAACTATAGAGTAAATGGCATTTGTTGATATGATGGAGTGATTATTAATGCTTTTGAATTTTGGTCACCATGTGCATGATCTCATTTAGTGCCACAACCATGTTCAAAGCACAGAATTACATTCTTGTTGAATCTCTAAGCAACAACATAATTTTCTGTCAAATTATTATGAACCCATGATTTAATTCGATGAATTAAATCCAAAAGAAAATTGCTTAATTCGTAAATGTGAACAAATAAATTAACTTTTCTTTCACACTATCAATATTGGGTGTAAACCTAATGAAAAGAGGTAATCCCAAATTAACAAGCAAAACCAAAACTCCTCCATGTGAAAAGGCAGAGACAGTGACAGAGACAGAGACAGACAGGGGATTTGGATGGTGACTCTGTCTGTCTTTTAGCTTAAAATTGACAAAGCAAAGCCAACAGTTAATCCCCCATCAACCTTTTCTTGTTAATCCCCACCAAGACCTATTTGTTTATTACTTTGTTACATTGTTTTAGTCAAGTATTCATATGCTAAATCTGTTTGGTGAGTGTTCCTGCTCAAATAAACCTTTACAAATTTAAAATAATTAAAAACTCTTAAGTATTTGAGTATTAAGTTAAATTTTGTTTAAATAATAAAAAAACTCACGGAATTATACCTGTTTATGTAATTGAATTCTTATATTTTTAGTATATCTTAATAAAACCTTAAAATGATTATATAATGTGTGGATGCGAAAATAGGAAGGTATTATGTTGTAAATTTGATAAAAGTATAGAAACCCAATCGTATAAATTGATTTAATTAAATAATTTTTTATTATTTATGCATTAATTTTTTTTTATTTGCGTGAATCTTTTTAATTTTTGTGATGATTTGTCTGGTTTTTTCGAGGCAAGATTGAGCTTAATTAAGGGAAGAAAACAAGCTAAAAACTCAAAACACCTTGACAATATAAGCAAATTGGGACATGAACCATAGTTGCAATTATCTTCTAATTTTAGGAAAAATCCTTCTTTTATATATATAATATTATAAAATAATAACGTATTATATCATTAAAAGATCATTTTTATTTTCATTATGTTTTTAAATATTATTTTATAAATACTTTTAAATGATGAACTCTCACATTATATTTTTTCATAATATTTATAAATCAATGATAAATAAAATAAAATGGATCTTATTTCAATCTCGAATCAATTAAAATTTTTTTGACTCTTGATGTATACAATTGTAAATATCTATTTAATTTAAAATAAAAATATAAAATTTTAATTGAATATAATAAAAATTCAAATTTATTTAATTTATTTTAAAAAATTATGTCTTTATTTTATAAATATCACAGACACTCTTTAATATTTTTCCTTTTTTATTAAAAAAGGTAATATTTTGAAGGGTAATTTGGGAACTCATTGTTACAGTTTCCGTACCAAAATTTTCAACAAAAGTAAATCAGAACGTTCCTCGATCGTCTCATTCTGAATTTCCTGATATCTAAAACCCATCAATTTGTTCTGCAATTATCCACTTTTAGACCTGAAAAAAAGACACGTGGCGCACTTTCCACTCTTTGCGTCTCTCGTAGTACAAATCTCTCGTCGGCGCACCGATTGCCTTTGATTTATTCCAACCGTTTAGCTATGATTAGATGCATTTAGAGTTTACGATGAAATAATGAAACCAATCCCCACCGATGACGGCTTTGGTTGTCTCGGGCCGATGATGGAATATATGTGGTCAGGAAGGAACCCAGGTTGTTAGGCAAGATAAGTTATGATAGGTTGCGATGTACGTGATCTAATCATAAAGGTGCGGTGGCCAT